GCTGTGATTGGGTAGCGCGAGATGACGCTGAGCTGTGATTGGGTAGCGCAGGATGACGCTGCGCTGTGATTGGGTAGCGAGGGATGACTCTGCGCTGTGATTGGGTAGCGCGGGATGACGCTGCGCTGTGATTGGCTGTACCCCCTAAGGCGTGCTCTGTCATGCTGAGGCACAGAGACTCCAGCGTGGGGTTGATCTCCAGATCCGTCCCCGGAACTTGGCATTCTGGGAATGAAAACAAGAGCATGTGATCAATGTCAGGGTGAGCACTCACAGGCCTTGTGTCCAGCTTACAGAGGCAGCGTGTAAACATTGCACGGCAAAATTCATAATGGTTAGTATTATGTTTTAAAGGCTGAAATGTGAGGTTGATCCTTTTGTCAAGACTTCTATTATGTAAACATGTAGTAACAATGTAAGTCACTCAACCTTCTTTGTTCATTTAAAATCTGGCAGTCATTGTTAATGTCATTATTTTAACATTTATGCACAATGCTGCTAATTTTATTTGTTGTTTAATGGTTTTTAATCAGTGCTGGGCAATAATTAATCGCAATTAATTGGATCCAAAATAAAAGTTTTTGTTTATATTGTGCACTGTGTATATTTATTATGTACATATAAAGACACACACAGACAGTATATATTTTGAAGATATTTACATGTATTTATATTATATAAGCTGAAGCAGCGTCTGTGGATCAGGTGTGTCAGTACCTTGTTGCTGGAACAGGAGCATGGTCTGAGGAGACGTGTGAACTGGAAGTGAATGAGTTCTCTGCACTGAACTTCTGCTCTGGCTCGGCATGCTGTTACTGCCTCCAGGATTCCCAAACCACAGATTCTGAAACACACCATCACACCAACCACTGTCAGCCGCTTGAGAACCAGGATCTGTCTCTGATTGAGAGTTTAGAGTGTTTTATCCAGTCGAAGCTCTTTTAGTGTAATTGTACAAACGTCCAGCTTCAGCTGGAGCTTCTCGTGTCAAATCTTGACTGATTTTGATCAAGTAAGCGTCAGAATAACTGCAGTAATATCTCCAGATGAACACTTACTGGACTGAAGCAGCTCAGCTTTACTTGATTCTCCATCAATCATGTTTTAGAGTCTCAAATCTGATCCTCAGGATCTTTCGAGGAGCGTTTGTTTCCAGAAGCTTTACTTTCACTGTTCCTCAGCGGAGGAATGATCTTCACAAGCCTCCAGAACATCTCACATCTTCTGAGGAGCCTTTATTTCTTCAGCTCTCAATCACTGCATTATATGTTTGGAGCATTTCAATCTCATCTTACTGAGACAGATTACTGGAGATATAGAGCCACGACTGATATTTATATAATTTTATGTCAGTATCTGCTGTACTGTTATAAACATCTCATTGATTTACATCACAAGCATCAGAATTTCATCATATAAATATCAGCATCTGCAGCAAATTCATATTTTTGCTCAGTTTGAGTCTCTGAATAAAATTGAGCTGTTTTTCCTCCATATTCTCACTGTATCAGACTATATGAGCCATAAAAGCCTGATGGATCAGATATGATGCTCAACACACCTGCAGTGTTGTGTGAGTATGTAGTGGTGTGTGTGTGACCTGTCGGCCCTGTGTGCTGACGGCGGGGGGGTTAGCGAGCGTGTGTCGCGGTGATACTCCGGTCAGACCGCTGCTCATCAGCCCCATGCGTCCGGCTGGAGGAGCTCCTCGCGGGGGCATCTGGAAGGGCCTCTGGCCCCGGCGGCCCAAACCTGCGCTCACAGATCCAGCTGTGGGCAGAGAGTTGGATCCGTACTGCTGCCAGCTGCACAAACACACGGAGCCATTAAACCACTGATCTATATATAATGACTGGATCACTCACTGCCTTCTAAACTGCTGACAGCCGATGAAGCCACAGGAAGTGTTCAAACCACCATCTTACTAAATATTAAACATGAGTAGTATCGGAAATGTATTCGAATATACAATGAATAATAAAAGCCTCTGATACTGTATTGCTCTGCTGTATTGTAATTTAAAGCTTACCATGCATCATCTTGGAAATAAAGCTTCATATCTTTAAGTCCGTAGCACAAAACCAGTCATAAGGGTCAATTTTGTGAAATTGAGATTCATACATCATCTGAAGCTGAATAAATAATCTTTCCATTGATGTATGGTTTGTTAGGACAGCACAATATTTGGCTGAGATACAACTATTTGAAAATCTGGAATCTGAGGGTGCAAAAAATCTAAATATTGAGAAAATCATCTTTAAAGTTGTTCAAATTAAGTTCTTAGCAATGCATATTACTAATCAAAAATTAATACAATACACAATACACATTACACGCACCCTCTCCGGTACACGCCGCTGTCCATCACGGTCTTCCGCGGGAAGAGGCGGAGCAACTTCAGAACCTGCTGTTTCCATGACAACAGCCGCTTCCTCTGCGTCTCTGTAAACGCCTGACAAACACACACTCATGACGAGCCTTGCTAGACAGCGCCAGCATCGACACGAGCGTCAGTAATGAAGCGCGTCTCACCTCGTGGGTCAGGCATTTCTCTATGAGCTGCAGGTAACAGCTGATGTTCTCCTCGTCCGGTCTGGACACCAGCAGCTGCGTACAAACTGAACACACACTGACCCCCTCAACACAAACAGAGCAGCTGCACACAGTGTTATTACAGCTAACTAAACCATGAAAAAAACAAAACTGTTAAATTACTTGAAATAAATTAAAACGTAAATAAAAGAAAAGAAAATACCAAAACCTTAAACATAAAAAAAAATAATGAAATTAATAGTTAAATACTATATTTACATAAAACATATTTCATAAAATTTCTTGAATCCGCATTAACTTGTTAATTGTGAAAACAATTAAATATCAGTGTTATTTTAGTATCATTGAGATATTATTGTAGTTTTTATTATTTTGAATTTTATTTTCATTTTAAAATATCAGGAATTTTGTTGTGCATTTTGTAATTTTTAGTATTTGTTATATATTTCTATATAGTTTTAATTAGTGCTGTCAAATGATTAATCACATCCAAAATAAGTTTTTGTTTACATAATATATGTGCGTGTATTGTGTATAATTATGTATAAATACACACATACAGTATATATTTTGAAAATATTTACATGTTTATGCATTTATATATTCATATTCTTATATTATATATAAATATATTTGATATGTATACAAAACATATTTTTCTTAAATATATACATGCATGTGTGTGTGTGTATA